GAGCAGTGAAGTATCTGTTCTTATCAACGCAACAAGTGGCTCGAAATCAAGGTCGCAAAAGAGCCGAGTTCCGTGAGAAAAACATTATCCTGCTCATGGTCAAAGGTCAAACACAAAAAGGGCACAAATCACCACTCAGCTCCAACCCAAAGCACTCTAAAAACGAAAATTCCCTGAAGAAGCAAGCGCTAGATGAGCCATACATTGTACACGCGCGTGTTTCGCAAAGAAGCTTGTTGTGCCGCGCAAGAAAATTTGCCAGCGCATCAGCCTCTACTTCCAATTTAGGCATGTTTGGAGACGAGAGCGGAGGATTTCACTGGGATCTCTGAGAATTGCCCAGACCTTCTTCTCCCATCAATCGAACACCGTGATTTTTGTCAAAGGTGCAAGGAGGGCTGCAAGGGACAACTTTGACCGTTGAGAGTGGTCTGGGGTATCTGTTCTTGTGGTTGAAAAGTTTTCAGATTTTTTCAACTTGTTGAGACATAGGTTTCATTGACATCACAACAGATGCTGATGATGCAAGACCTGGGATGTTGACTGGGAATTTTCGAGTATGTTCTATGGCGAGCGGAATTTTCCAGAATTTTCGAAGAAATCGTCTAAGGTTTAGGTTTTAGGGCTTTGCAGGTGGGTCCCCTTCGCTACCTGTCAGGTTCTTTGTTCTTGAACATTCTTCGTTCAAGGATCTCAGTGATAAAAAATCGATGACGATGTCAAACCATGTGACTTCAAAGTATCCCTGACAGATCCTTGCAAATGTTTGTTGCTCGCCATGTTGCTTGAAATGGCTTGAAGCTTGTTGGGTTGTGGTTGGCGACCGTTGGATGCCAAGTTTGGGACTTTAGTTGATGAGCTTAGATTGAAAACGAAGAAAGACGAAGACGAAAAAATATACTAAAAAAACAAAAATAAGAAAAACATACAAAAAATAAGACAGAATACAGAAGACAGAAGACGTAGGTAGCGGTAGAGGCAGCGCAAGTAGTGAGCCAAGAAGGGGTGTGAAAATGGCAGGGTGAGGAGAATGGCTCACCACATGCACCTCTGAATAGGATTTTAATTTGTTTGCCTCTTGGAGTCCTTTCTGGGTGTTTGGATGGGTTACAGCTTCAACCATGTCTTAAGAAAATGTTTGTGAATGCTATGTAGAGCATCTTGATTGTTTGAAGTGGTCTTGGAAAACATCTTAGTTGCTTCTCTCGCTTAGAGAAGCTTTCTTACGTGAGACGCTGAGACGCTTGCCGAAAGCCGAATACCGGACTTTTGGCTCAAGAGCGGGACTGTGAAAAGGTCTGCTGCGCCGTCCGTGTGTTTTCTCACACTGGTTGGAATTCTGTTGCCAAGTCACCCGCGCAGCGGCAAAAGTTGGCGAGGCACAGGGCGGTGAATTTGGCGACCCCAAAAAGACGAGGTCGAAAAGCTGTGAAGCCTGGAGTCACCACAGTGGACCTCTCTGTTTCGAATCCAGTCTGTTTTCACGCTGAATTCGATGCTTTCCTCAACTTACAGTGACCAAGGAACTTTGAACGCGTTCCCTTTCCTTGCCACTTCCTTCAAGGACAAGTAACCACTCATTGTTGGACTTGACATCCTGCTGACTGATCTCAAAGCGCATTGAAGCGTCGGAGTTGTTTTCTTGCGGAACTCACTTGATCTCAAATTTGATTGCGCACATTTTGATTGCTTAACCTGGGGCACACGCCGGCGACAATCGAAAGAGGACCGAGTCCGAAACATTTTCAGTGGAAGACCAAGAGAAGAGAAGGAAACGGGAAGGGAAGGACGGAGAAAGGGACAGGAAAAAGGAAAGGAAAGGAGAAGGAGTGAGGAACTAACTAAGAGGACGCAGGCAGCGTGCATTGCTCATGTGTATGTTCAGAACCATTTTTTTTTGAAGGCCTGGTTGTGAGCACGGTTATCAACCCCTGATCTTGAGCCGTTTGAAGCTATCCGAAGGAATGCGATCTAAGAGATGAAGATTGCAGTGAATGATTGTTCATGAACATCCGAGTCTGGCTCCAGGAAC